GGCACTTACAACCTCGGCACGAGAGAGGCTGAGGCAGGATAGAGGGTGTGAGGCTAGCACAGGCTACATACCAAGATCTGTCTCAAAAACATAATGCACAGAAACTGGCGCCCGAATCGTAGAGCAATTTGGGCATTCCTCCATGCTAGGTCTTTTTAAAGGACTAAATACAGCTACAAAAGGCAATGATGTCACATGCCTTTAACCCCAGCACTTAGGAGACAGAGGCAGGCAGTCTCTGTGAGTTCTAGGCCAGCCTGGTCTACAAAGAGAGTTCTGGGACAGCCAGGGCTACACAGAGACACCCTGTCTCAAGGAATGAATAAATAGATTTCCTGTCACCCAGCTAGCCCCAGATATTAGAAAAAAAGTTCAGTTAGAAAAATTTAAAAATATAAGTAGGTCCCAGTTGCTGGGGGTAGCTTTAAAAGGCATTTAACAACAGAGAACTGATTGAGACAAGACCTTTTGCATAAACTGAAAGCCACCATCACCTTCTCTGATGATGAGATGCAGTTAGACTTAGACACCCAGCCAAATCTTGGTGTCTTACCCTCTGTCAGAAGAAACCAACCCCCAGGACTTGCCCAACACCAAGCTCCTATAATGGTTCCACTAAGCAGTTCAGCTCCCTCTGTCTGGATGGAACAGGACCCGGTGACTCTGGAAACAAAAGGTATTTATTTGCCCATGCCTTACGCTATCATGACCCCTTGTGTCTGGACTCCTTCCAGTCAGAGCAAAAGCAAACTTTGATTTCTGTGTGATTTCAGTTACAGGTCCTGCTCTGGGTACAAATGTCTGCTCAGATAACCACTACTGCATATTAAGAAATGGAATATAACTTCTTAAATGTTCTCAGAACTTTTTCTTCTGAATACTGACCCCATACTTTTAAAATTTCTGACAAGGTCTCCTGCATCCAAGGCTGGCTTCAAACTTGCTATGGCCTAGGGTGACCTTAGATTCCTGATTCCCCTGCCTCTCCCTCCCAAGAGCTGGGATTACAGATGTGTGCCCCCATGTCTGGTTTCTGAAGTGTGGGCGATAAAACCCAGAGCTTCATACATGAAGGCTCTAACAACTGGCCTTCTTCCTGAGCTATTATGTAAATATTTTTCTTATTTCTTAGGAGTATCTTGAGTTGAAAAACTGAGCCTAGAAATGTTAATCCAGGATGTTAACACTTTACTAAGTAGAAGAGGTATCTCTTCCCACAAAAGCCAAACAGAAAACAAAGCATTATTAACATTTTCTATTTATTCATTAATAAAAAGTGCATAGTACAAGCCCTTTACCCCAATCCAAGTACTCAGTAAAAGATTAACAATAAATGCTAGATGGCACAGACTGATTTGTTTGGCATGATTTAAACATTTGAAACAGCAAATTACATTTAGTACATCACATGACCACTTTTGCTTTTACCAAATAATCATTGGACATGTAACGAATACTCAGGATTCTTCATTGAAATATATAAGACTGTCCCTATTTTCTATTGCAACAACAGAATTTAAATCATTTTTCCTTCTTCAAGTTGCTGTCTTGTGTTTTAAATCAAGCTGGTCAAACTTTAGCACAAAATCACTGAGACAAACTTTCACTTAAAGTGACAGACTCCCACAATTCCTTTAAAAATCTAAGATATTAGTAAGTTTATAAATACTATCACAGACACCTAATGGAACCATGGGACAGCGATACTCAATGGATACTCCGGAGAACTTCTGCACATTGTAAAACATGACTTATTAACCATGGAATAGTGTTCAGATACATGGTCAAATCTTTTACAATAAAAAGTCCCAAATGTTAACCTATCCCATGTGGAAAATGGAAAAATGAAACTACTAGATCTGTATAATCGTATGAAAAGACTCTCAAATGAATTCTAGACAGCATGAACAGCCAAGAGGGGTGGAAATGTGAGCTTTCAGACCAAGTGAGTGTTTGCAAGCCAAATAATGGTATAAGAATAAGCTCAATTAAAGCATGTAGAAGCTGCAAGAAGAGAATAATATAAATTATTAGTGAGGTTAATAATAATATTTTATGCAGGATACCACCATTTTAGGAGTATAGAAAAATTTCCAAAGCAAACAAAATAACAAAGAATAAAAAATAAAAACCCAGGACCAAGTACTTCTCAAAGAAACTCAACTGTTAACAGGCACTGAAATGTCTGGATTGGTGTTTTCTATTCAATTGTGGTCATCCTTCTGGTGAGCATGTAACTGAGCCTTTTCTAGGTTGGAAAGTAATGTCTCGGAGGGGCTAACAAACCGAGGCTGTGGTGCTAACTTAACAGAGGCTGACGAAGGAAAAGGCCGAGCTGTTTAGACACAGCAAGTGCATGTGATCGGAACGAACATCCAGAACAAGAGTGCACATTCCAGGTCTCTAACACTAGGTGGTCTGTAGCCACATTCTGTCCATTTCTGTTTTAACCAAGGTGAAGTCTACACTACCTGTGAGGCCAACCAAGTGAACACAACTCTCCATTGGGTCTCGCTTCAAGTGGTTAGAATAGACCATTGGAGCATGTGTGCAGGTCTTCAGAGTTAAAGGGAGAGACAGGAAAAGAAATGCTACAGAGATGTGCCTCCATCTGATGCCATTCCAATTTTGTTTCTAAGTCCCTCACCCCATTTTTCCTTATGAGGCACGATGTTCCTATGCAGCCCAATCTGACCTGAAATTCACTACACAGTCTACAGTCTGGCCTCAGGACTGCTGCCATATCTGACTTTTGTGTTAAACTGGCTACCAGCTATGAAGGGGGAAGACTTCCGGTTACCCACAGCAAGAGAGAAACCCTTCACTCACCCTGTGGTGTTCATTTGTTCAGGATTTAACTTACCTGGGTTAAGTCACCCTTCTATAAGGATAAGTACCTAAAAGGTGGTTACGTTACTTCAAGGGTTGAGCACAAAGCCAAGTGAGCCGGGAGGGATGTCAGCAGCCAGGATCAGCACAGGACGAAGTGATGCCCTTCACAGTGCAATGGACCAGAGTGTAACCACCACATTGGGGGAACAACCAGCGTCACAGAGCCAGGCCAGAGGCCTGTCAATGGCCCAATGGTGGACAAGTTTATTTAGTTCACACAAACAGTTTCTCAGGTCTGTACAGTGACAGCCTAGACTGATCTGGGAAGGGAATCTTTACATTGATAGCAAAATACGTTCTGGCCCCAACAAGTCATCTGCAGCTACTTCCTAGAAAAAAATTCCAGGCCATCCATGGATGTTTAAATGCCATTTGTATTCACCGCTTTTTGAACCGAGAACAATGCAACCTCTTAGTTTTTAAGTACATTTTGAAATCCCAATTTCTGATGCTCCTTCCCACTCTAATACATCCATATCCCATTACTCAACAGACTCGGGCCGAGAGGTGAGAAAAACATTGTTTGCCATTTTCCTCCTTTCCCTGGGAATAAACTAAGACCTCATATTAAAGGCTTTTTTTCTTCCTAAGTCAGAAGGGCAACAAAAGACTGAAAATTTTTTTCAAATAAAAAAAAGTATGAAAGTAAGTAAATAGGCATTGGAATGTCAACCCCCACACGGATGTAAGATGGTTTCATTTTAACAGGCAAGTGTTGGAATGGAAGAGAAGCTTGCTGAGAGGCATTCGCTTAAAAAAAAACAAGCCAATCCATCTAGCCCGTGTTAGCACAGGCCGGAGTATACCGACAAAGGCAGAGAGAATCAGCTCTTCCTTTCATGAGTGTGTAAGGCTAGCGGACAGTGGCTGTCAGCGACACACAACGGATTCTAAGCCAACCGTTATAGTAATCAATCATGTTTATTTAAAGTATTCTTAACATCAGAAACTTTTACTGGGAATAAAAAAAGAATCAGTAAACAACCAGTTCACTTTTCCTATTCTAGCCACATAAGCCAGCTGTACCACAGAGCTCAGCTGGAGGATGTAAGGAAACTATTCTAAAAGCTTCACGGTCCCGAGAACTACAGAAAACTGCCAAGGTAAAGTAAATACAGTGTGGCTCTGTCATTCATACCAGATAACCCCAAATAAATACCTTAAGAAAAAAAAAGAAAATCTATTAAAATCACTTAAAACACGTAAATGCAGAAATCTCAACTTTCCTTCAATTGGGCCAGAAACCACCACAGACATTATGATCACAGTTCCAGGGACAACGAGGGGAATGTTTAAGCTTAGGCCAACCAACGAAGTCCTTGAACTTTCCAATAGAATCATTTACTCAGGTATACTGTAAATAAGAACTGTGGCAACGCAGGAAGCAAAAGTCAGTTTGCAAGTGAAATTTCTAGAAGCTCATGAAAACAATACCATCCCAAATTGCAGATGGAAAAGGAAAAACAGTTAAGAGTACTCTGGTCATCTTCAGGCATTTGGTCGTCACAGCGTTCAACACTCTGCTTCCCACGTCACGTTAGTCCACAGGAGGAGCGGGCGGGTCCTGACCCTGGCATTAACAAAGAATGGCTTCAGTGACTTTTAACACATCTACTAAGTGAAAAAGGAGCAGCACCCCTGTCCCCCAACCCTTCACACCACAATGACACCTGTAGTCTTCCTGTGTCTAGACAGGGAACACAAGGTAAGTACTGTGGTGTGGCAGTGAGTCATTCTTGCATGTGGTGTGGGATAAAGGAAAGCCGCAGCAGGGGTGTGACTGTCCCGGCCACCTCGGGGAGTGTCCATCCCCTCACTAATGTGACTGCTGAGTGCAGTCCACTCAGCTAGAGGCTTCTACTTCTCATTGTGGAGTGTCTCCTGGAATGTGGCTCGGGGGGCCTGTGGCAACCATCTTACCACTGGAAGGGGAGCCCGCCTTACAATGAGGGCTGTGGTAAGAGGAAAGAGACTGGCTATCTATGCAAGCACCAGTGCGTGTGCGTGCGTGTGGTGTGCATGTGTATTAGAACAGGTCTCATGTATATATGTAGGTATGCATGTATTCGTGTATGTATGTATTTAGACTGTGTCTCACATATCTCAGAGATTAGCTCCATGCACACTGGGGAGCACTCCATCTCATGTATCTTGGAGATTAGCTCCATGAACACTGGGGAGCACTCCATCTCATGTATCTCAGAGGCTGGCTTCATGCACATTGGGAAGCACTCCATCTCATGTATCTCAGAGGCTGGCTTCATGCACACCAAGCAAGTACTCTATCAGGTAAGCTACATCCTCAGCCCAGAAACTGGATGTACAATAGCACTGTTAATCAAGACAATGGGGACCTGTTAGGCGGCCTATGTGCTGGGGTTACAGTTGTGTACACGCATGTTCTGCTTTGCTGTTAAACGTTCTCAGCACTGAACCTATCTGAAGTTTTGGTGTGTGAACCAATAAGTCCACTTATTTAGTCACCTTCCTGTTGGTTTTTGTTACATGCAATAGAAAGCATCTGAGTTAAAAGGAGGTTAAAGCTATGCCAAGCTATACGGGCTGAGGCAGGAGGATCCTGAGTCTGAGGCCAGTCTGAGCTACGAAACGGGTTCAAGGCTATCTGGGCCATACAGTAAGACTTTATCTCAAAAGTGGGAGAGATGGGGAAAGGGCTTTCAGGACCCTGGGGAAGGCTTCGTTTACTCACCTTGGCGTGCTCTGTGAGAGTGAGCAGCATTTCTACGGCAGCTTGTTTTTTTCTGTTCCTTGCTTAGGACACAGAGACTATTGTTCCTAGGACCAATAAGGTCCAGGGGGTGTATCATTTGTAATGACTTCTAAGTCAGGTGCACTTGGATTTCTTTATCTCTAAACATTCGAGAAATTGCTCCCTGACACAAAAATAGTAAAGGTCTACATACAGCGTAAGAAAAAAGGCTAAGAAGAAATAGTTCACATAGGCAAGCTTTTAATGCCCATCCCCTTTCCAGAAAACCCTGAAGTCCATTAAAGCTTTCTCTTCTACTTTCCTTCCTTCCTAAGTCAGACAGGGTGGGACTGTGTAGACTAGGCTGACCTTGAACTCAGAGATCCGACTCTCACTGCCTCTCAGGTGCTGGGATTACAGGGCATACCCTCACGGCCTGCAGATGAGAACCCGCTGGGTTCTCAGCTGACTCCACCCAGCACGTGTCTGCTGATCTACCAAAGGCTCCGAGTGCTCCCAGTCTCACTGCACACTTGCTCCCCTCTGGTAATTCTAACGTTAATTACACAAGGCTGCCAAAAAGCAGCCATTAGGAACTGCACTTGTGAAGGCTGAATATTAAATTAATAGAGTAATTTGGTGTTCCAATATGTGGTTTCATCATAAAAAAGAAAAGTTCTTTTGTTTGATTTTTTTTTTTCTTGAGAAGGGGTCTCCTACAAGCCAACCTAGGCTCTAACTTGCTATGTAGCAAAGGATGACCTTGAACTTCTGATCTTCCTACCTCCTCCGCCTCCCCAGGATGGGACTCCAGGTGTGTGTCACCACAGCTTGTTTATGAGGCCCGAGGAGCCAAGGCAGGGCTTCGTGCACACTAGGCAGTCTACCAACAGAGCCACATCCCCAGCCTGAAAACTTCTTTCTAGACGCCGAGTCGTTTTATAGATACCCAGGACCTCTCCGAAAGAGATCTCACTTTGTAGTACAAGGTGGCCTAGAACTCACTAGGTAGGCCAGGCTAGCCTTGAATTTGGCCACTCTCCCAAGTACAGGGTCACAGATCTGAGCCACAGCTAGCTCTATTTTTTTTTTTTTTAATGTTTATCTCTACAAAAGACAACTGGGCACTGAAAATTTTATTATGACTACACTGAAAGAATTCAGTCCAAGAATTAAGTCTGCTTGGGCAGTGGTGGCGAATGCCTTTAATCCCAGCACTTGGGAGGCAGAGGCAGGTGGATCTCTGTGAGTTCGAGGTCAGCCTGGTCTACAGAGTGAGATCCAGGATAGGCACCAAAACTACACGGAGAAACCCTGTCTCGAAAAACCAAAAAAAAAAAAAAAAAAAAAAAGAATTAAGTTTTCCTCTGGATAATTTAGATATTTCAGTCAAAAAACCCACCCCGCAGTACCCAGGAAGGATTAGTAATTCTTACGCTGTGAGGCCTGGAGGGTTTTCCGGGGAGACTGGAGCCTCTCAGATTAGGAGGTCTCAGTAAGAACAGGAGCACTGCAATCACCATCCAGGCCATCAGGATCACAGTGACGCTGACGCCGTTGTCACTGGAGGGTCCCGGCACTAAAGACAGATAAGACGAGCATCTGTAGCCAAACGGCCCCGAGGGTAACATTGTGAGACAAAGGTAAAACGGATTCTCCTGTTTAAACACCACACGAAGAAAACACTAACAGTTCAGAGTACAGCTGCAAACGGGTGTGTTTCCATTTCCCTTCCTCCAGGTGAGATCTACAGGGTGTAACTCACGTCAGTCACAAACCGAATTAGAGTCAAGACTTTGACTAGTCTTTTAGTTCTTTAACAATTGTACTTATCTTTTATTTTGTGTATATATGTCTCTGTGTGGAGATGAGCATGTGTCCACAGGTGCCCATGGAGGCCAGAGGAGTTGGGTCCCCAGAGCTGGAGCATGCTAGGCAGATTGTGAACTCGGACATGGGTGCTGCGAACAGAACCCTGGTCCTCCGCAAGAGTAAGCACTGTGTATGCCCTTAACCACCTATGCACCTGCCCAGACAAATGTATTAAGTTCATCATTTGTGTTAACAGACACTTAGCCCTGGGACACTCCACGGGCTACACACATCCAACAGTTGTGCATTGACTGCAGAAGGCTCACGGACTCAGGAAACCACAAATCCATAGATTTGCTGAGATCTAAAGAAGACAGATTAAGATTACCCAAAAAAGGGGCTGGAGAGACGGCTCATCGGTTAAGAGCACTGACTGCTCTTCTAGAGGACCTGGGCTCAATTCCCAGCACCCACATGGCAGCTCACAACTGTCTGAAACTCCAGTTCCAGGGGACCCAACACTGATGGCAAAACACCAATGCACATAAAATAAATAAATAAAATTTTTTAAAAATAAAATAAAAAAAGAATACCTAATGAAGTCGGGTGGCGATGCTGGCACATGCCAGCACTCAGGAGGCAAGACAGGTGGATCTCTGAGTTCGAGGTCAGCCTGGTCTACAGAATGAGTTCCAGGACAGCCAGGGAATACAGAAAACCCCATTTCAAAAAAAGGACCGCCTGGTGGAGAGGGCGGAGACACGGCTCGTGGGCTATGAGCACTTGCTTCCCCTGCAGAGCACCCAGGACCAGTTTCCAGCACCCACGACCATCTGTGACTCCAGTTCCAGGAGCTCCAACAACCTCTTCTGACCCCCCCAGACATGCACGCAGGCAAAGCACACAATAAGTAACTCAAAACAAGGTAAAGAATGGCAACGAGCCGGGCGGTGGTGGCGCACGCCTTTAATCCCAGCACTCGGGAGGCAGAGCCAGGCGGATCTCTGTGAGTTCGAGGCCAGCCTGGTCTACCAAGTGAGTTCCAGGAAAGGCGCAAAGCCACACAGAGAAACCCTGTCTCGGAAAATCCAAAAAAAAAAAAAAAAAAAAAAGAATGGCAACGGCAGGTGTGGCGGCACAGCCTTTAGTCCCAGCACTCGGGATGGAGACAGCAGGTTTGAGTCTGAGGCCAGCCTGGTCTACACAGAGTTCCAGGGCAGCGAAGACTATAGTGAGTCTCAAAAAACAAAGACAAAAACAAAAAAAATCTTTTAAAAATGCTCAATTTTCATAAATTAAAATTACAGATCAGATTTAAAGACAAAAACAGCAGATTGCAAAAATGGCCCATCAACATGACAGCTAGTTTTGGCTTTTCTGCATCAGGAAAAATCAAAGCTGTCCAGACAGGCTGCAGAAACGAGGCTGACGTACTGTAGCAGGTTCCGCAGGCCCAGGGCTCACTCCCATGCCAGTACTGAGGCCAGAGTGCTAGCAACCAAAAGTCTTCTAAGTACTCTGCTGGTACGAGAGGAGGCAGATGGGAATGCAGCTTCTGTTCTGACCCTTGTCACTTTCTGGGAACTGCTAACTCAGTGGGTGGTGGGGAGTCACCAACCTGCACACCTTATCAGCACTGTTTCTCTTCCTGAGTTCTGGATGCTGGGTATCGAACCCAGGACCTTGCCCATGCTAGACAAACAGCACACCACACCCAGCCCCCCAGATCCTTCTTCTCTTGTTCCCTTCTGTTATTCTAAATTTGTCAAGTTTTAAATTTTTATTTCGTTAGCCAGAGGGGTGGTGTGAAGTGGGCGATGGTGGCACATGCCTTTAATCCCAGCACTTGGGAGGCAGAGGCAGGTAAATCTCTGAGTTGGAGGCCAGCCTGGTCTACAGAATGAATTCCAGGGATACACAGAGAAACCCTGTTTCAAAAAACAAAATTAAAGTTTCTCCTTTGATTTGTGTAGGGGGCAGGCATGTGAAGGTCAGAGGGTAACTTTCAGCATCTGGTTCTTTCTTTCCACCATGTGAGTCCCGGAGATTGAACTCAGGACATAAGCCTTGGTGGTAAGTGCCTTTATCAGCTGAGACCTCTTTCTTGAACTTTGTTGGGTCCTGTTTCTTCTCACAGAGGTCTACCCATCATCCATTATCATCAGGTCTCCAGGGTACATTCTTGATTTTCCTTTTCCTAACGCCCAAGACTAGAGTGTCATCCTAAAAACACTAGTGACAGGAGCCTCTCTGCGGCCCAGCCCAGGGAGCAGCCGCTGCCGATCCGCCAACTCTGAGCGCACTGGCCTGACCTTTGCTGGTGTGATTTGGTTCTACTTAGGTCACCCCCACTTCTTCCAACATCAGCTTTTCTAGTTACTCCAGATTCTTGAGCCAATGTTTCCCTCGCCTGGCTGGACATCAATAAGGCCTATGACCCACATCACAGATTCTGAGGCCCTGCGTCAGACCATCTGATTCAAGAGCAGCAGACGGGTGTGGTCTAATATTTTTTAAACCTCTCCAAATGAACCTGATGTAATAATAATAATTCAAGCCTTCTCTGGCAGGGCATTGCAGACTCAGCCCTTCCTCAGCACCCCATACCCTCCACCCTGTCCAGCTCATACTCAAACCAGCCTCCCATTCACTCTCCACCTCCCTCTCCCATAACAATCCCATTCCCTCTGCACTGTCCTGCTGCCCCTGCTGGCCTTCTCCAAAGTATCACTGCATTTCTCAGCTGAAGGAATGGCTTCCCAGCTTTCCTAATTAGGTGGATCAAATTGTTGCTGCTGCCTTCCAGGGCTGGGGATCAAACCCAGGGCCTTGGACATGCATGCCGAGCAACCACTCGGCTCCAGGTCATTAACTTTCTAATAAGCCATCTCGTGGCTATGTGACCACCATCTTTCAGCTATTCGATCCTGGTGCCTTGGTTTCTTTATGTGTGGAAGGTAAACATCGCCATCAGCTCACAGGGTAGCAGTGAGCACTGGAGTGGGCAGGCACAGAAAATAGCAATAGGGTCAATCGGAATTCAGTAAAATGTAGCTTCTGGGAGACATACTCCTGGAGCAGGATAAGCCAATGAAGCATCAAAGTCAAATACAAATGTCGGCAGGACAAAGAAACACAGCCCTTAATGACTAACTGGATTGGGGTGGGGGGTAGGGGTAGGGGGGTGGGGGAGGAAGAGCAAGGGCTGGGCGGGAGTAGGCAGCAAATCCCTCTACTTGAAAGTCTAAATAGATGCAATGTTCCTCACTTTCAAGGCTTGATAGATCACCCCCCACCTTTTTTCTTTCTTTTTCTTTTTGGTGAGTGCTGGTGATCAAACCCATGGCTTCCAGAAAATTAGGCAAGCCCTCTACCAACTGAACTATATCCCCAGACCAATATTTATTTGTGGGGAAGTACAAGGGACATATGCCTTGGGACCTTCTGGGGAGGTAAGAAGGTCATTTGTGGGAGTCAGCTATCAGCTTCCAAGTTCATTTCCTCTAACGTCAGGACCACAGGTGCACTTGTGGACTGCTGGAGGTGAGTCCGCTGTGTGAGTGCCCTTGGGTCTCCCTGGCAGTCCTGGATCTCACTCTGTATACAAGGCTGGCCTTGAACTCTCACAGATCTGCCTGCTTCTGCCCCCTAAGTGCTGGGATTAAAGGCATGCGCCATCACCACCCTCAATTTTTTTGTCTTTTTAAATGTAAGAATATAAAGCTGGACATGGTGGTGATGCACGCCTTTAATCCCAGCACTTGGGAGACAGAGGCCAGCTTGATCTACAGCACAAGCGAGTTCCAGGACAACCAGGGCTACACAGAGAAACTCTGCCTCAAAAAGAAAAGAAAAATTAATAGAACTGCCTGCGGAGGTCATGGAGAGGTATGTGACAAGCAATGCTTTAAAAATGTTTTGAAGTTGTGTGTGTGTGTGTGTGTGTGTGTCTCTGTGTGCACGTGCGTCTGTGTGGGTGTCACGAGAGAGCACTGGATGCCCTGGCGCTGGACTGAAGGCTCTGAGCTGCCTGACACAGAAACTGGGGACTGGACTCGGGTCCTCTGCAGGGCAGGAAGCTCTCCTAACTGCCAAGCCGTCTCTCCAGCCCCACACCGAAGCGTTTAACACAGGGAAGATCACAATTCAGGCTGGTTTCTCTGCTTTAAACGTTACATTATTTTACTTACTTATTTTGTGCATGCACGTGTGTAAGCACAGGTGTTGAAGTCTGAGGACAACCTGAGGGCATTAGTTCTCTTCTTCCACAGTGTGTGGGTTGGGGGTGGGGGGTGGGGGAGTCCCAGGGAACTGAACTCAGACCACCACGCTTGGAGGCAGGCAGCTCTAACTGCTGAGCCATCTCACTGGTCCTTGTCTTGTTTGGTTTGAGATCTCATGTGCCCAGGCTGGCCTCGAATACGCTATGTAGCCAGGGCTGCTTTGAATTCCTGATTCTCCTGTCCCTGTCTCCCAATGCTAGGCCTGCAGGCCTGAGCCACCACTCCTGGTTTGCCGAACTTTGAAAAGTAATCCTGGTGCCGTTCTAGGCAGCAAATGTGGCATGTGAGCCACAGCAGGACCCTGCCGACCAGAGGTGAAACAGCAGGTGGATGGCCATAATGAAAGCAGAAGCAGCGGGCGGGGGCGGGAGGAAGGGGCAGTGCTGAGTCATCAGATATACGACTGAAGAGGATTTGAGGAGGCCAGGCACAGCGGGGAGGCAAAGGACCCTAAGGTTCAAGGCCAGCCTGGGCTAGGCAATGAGTCTGAAGCCAGCCTCCGCCCACAGTGAGACCCTGTATGGGCTAAGACGGGGTTCAGTGGTGGAGCGCTTGCCTAGCATGCATAAGGACTTGGGTTTGATCCAAAACACCCTAAGAAAGAAGTAGTCCTTTAAAAAGATTCTATGCCAGGCGGTGGTGCCCACCTTTTAATTCTAGCACTTAGGAGACAGAGGCAGGTGGGGATCTCTGTGAGTTCCAAGACAGCCAGAGCTGTTACACAAAGAAACCCTGTCTTGAAAAACCAAAAAAAAAAAAAAAAAGATCCTACAAAGCCCTAACAATGTTTTTCACGTTCAGACAGACCTCCGAACTGTCTTTAAAAGTGGTTTTCTGAAAAGCCTAGAAATGTTCTGCAGATGCCTGTCTTCTGTAATGAGAAAACTATGCTAAAAGGTAACTACAAAGTGCAGGGGCTGGAGGACCAAGATGCCAACAGAAACAGGGAGAGAGGGAGGTTCCTGTCTTCACGCTAGGAATCGAGAAGATAGAAGGGATCTGCCCAAAGTCTCTTTGCCCTCAAGGAACTCAGAATGGAGGTTGACATGAGATGCCTAAGCAGGGTCAGGCAGCTGTGGTGCCCTCCCTTAATCCCCGCCCCCCAAAAATGCCTAAGTAAAACATAGTCACTAGATACAGACTTAGTAGACATGGAACACAGTCACTAGATACATAGTTACTAGACAAAGGACAAAACTTAAAAGGGTTTTAAAAAACAACAGGCCCAGCAGTGGTGGCACACGCCTTTAATCCCAGCACTCATGAGGCAGAGGCAGGGGGATCTCTGTTAGTTTGAGGCCAGCCTGGGCTACAGAGTGAGTTCCAGGAAAGGCTCCAAAGCTACACAGAGAAACCATGTTTCAAAAAACCAAAAAAAAAAAAAAAGTTTTAGGTGAGGGTACTGGAGAGATGGCTCAGAGGTCCTGAGTTCAATTCCCAGCAACCACATGGTGGCTCACAACCATCTGTAATGAGATCTGGTGACCTCTTCCAGGGTGCCGGCATACATGCAGGCAGAACACTGTATATATGAATAAATCTTTATAAAAAATATATGAATAAATCTTATTTGGACAGGTCACTCTGTTGTACAGAGAAACAGGGAGATAGTTGAGAACATATTATAAGACTGGGTATGGCAACCCAAGCCTTTGATCCCAACACTTGGGAGGCTGAGGCAGACAGATCTCTGAATTCTAGGCCAGCCTGTTCTACATATTGAGTTCCAGACCAGCCAAGGCTACATGGTAAGACCCTGTCTTAAACAAACAAACAAACAAACAAACAAACAAAAGGAACCTATTATAATAACCTTATGGAAGAGGGAGGAGGCATTGGGGTGGTATTGAGTACAGTTCTGGTTACATCCTGAAGGTATGATAAGGCTAGACCCCTGAGAGCCAAGAAGAGTCAAGGGTAACTTCAGAACAGAGCTACCACAACTTATGGGACAGACAGGAGGAAAAGCAGCTGTGGCAGATACCACTAGGAGCTCCACTCTGAAGATGGTTTTGAGAAGCCAGTGCGACATCACAGTGGACATGTCCGGAAGACGGTCACCAACACATGAGTCACACACACACACACGCCTGGAGAACATCATCAAGGGTGTGGCGAGGGAACAGCTCCAGAATGAGCTAAGGAGGCCAGAGCGGATAAGGAAGATAGGAATTGGAGAGTCAGAAAGTAAGACTGAACAAGTACAGGTTCAGAGTGGAAAAGAGCAGCTTCCTGTGGAAACAGAAGACAGAAGTCATGTCAAGGGTTGTGCTGGGTAGATAGCTCCACCAATGAAGTGTTGGCCAAGCATGGGGCCCTGAGTTCAATCATCAGAACCCACGTGAAAAGGGTGGGCATGGTGGTACACTCGTAATCCTAGTGCCAGAAAAAGGAGATAGAGGAATCCTGCCCTGGGGCTCACCGGCCAGCCAGGCAGTCTAACCTAATGGGTGAGCCCAAGATCCCACTGAGAGACTCTATCAAAAACAAGGTGGAAGGCTCATGAAGAATGACATCTGGCCTCCACGTACATGTGCACACACATGGAATGTACACCAGCACACAGGTACTCCTCCACACAGGAACACACACCACAAAGAAATAAATACAGCTGTGTATACTGATGCACACCTTTAATCCCAGCACTTGGGAGACAGAGGCAGAGGCAGGCAGATCTCTATGAGCTAAAGGCCAGCCGGTTTATGTTTATATAATAGGCTCCAGGCTAGCCAAACCTATACAGTAAGACCTGTCTGGAAAAAAAAAAAAACCGATTAAATAAAAATGCCAAAAGTTAAGTTTTGATAAAAGAAATAATACAAAGCGGCAGAGAGCTATCAAAGAGAAAAACCACTGGGTGCCTTTAGCAATGGTGCAAACAAGTCAAAACTTATAACTTGAAAACGCAAACCATATTCACTGGCTAATGATGAAATATAAAGTCTTCACTAAAGATGGAGACCTACAGTAGAATCTGTAAACTTCCTTTACAAATTCCCTCCCACGCTTTACCTCCACACGTTCCCACCCTGGGAAGCCTGGAACCCCGTTTAGTCCTATTGTCTTCCACAAACTTATGTTTTCAGCAGAAGACGCTACAAAGGAAGAGTTACACTGTTTTTTCACACAGGGCCTTGCCATGGACCACAGGGCAGCCTAGAATTCACCGTTTCCTTGCCATAGCCTTCCATGTGGAATTTCAGCATGCATTACCAGAGACAGAGGAGCCCTGAGTGACTCTCCCTTGAGGAGCCTGGCCACCCCCCTTGAAGCAGCCAAAGCATTTTTGAGTATGTTAGGCCTCAAATATATAACTGAGAGCCACTTACCATAAAACAAACTAAAAGCCAGGCAAGATGGTCCATGCCTATAATCCTAGCACCTTAGAAGGTGGAGGCCTCGGTACCGTCCCTGGTGCATGAGACGGCTTCTTGGAGCCCAGTGCCTATGGTAAGACTCTTTGCGCAGCCTTGGTGCAGGGAGGAGGGGCTTAGACCTGCCTCAACTGAATGTACCAGGCTCTGCTGACTCCCCATGGGAGACCTTGCCTTTGGAGGAGATGGGAATGGGGGGTGGTTTGGAAGGGAAGGCTGGGGGGGGCGGCGGGAGGAGGGAGGACAGGGGAATCTGTAATTGGTATGTAAAATAAATAGAAAACATCTTAATAAAAAAATTTAAAAAATAAAAAAAAAGAAGGTGGAGGCCATACAATCAGATGTTGTTCAAAGACAGTCTGGGCTATGTGAAACTGTTCCTCTCCCCCCCCCCACCCCAGCTTTAAAGACTTTTTTTTTTTTTTTATTCTGTATACAGTGCTCTCTCTGCCTGCATGTCTGCCTGCATGCCAGAAGAGGGCACCAGATCTCATTATAGACGGTTATAAGTCACCACGTGATTGCTGAGAATTGAACTCAGGACCAGTGCTCTTAAGCTCCAAGCCATCTCTCCCCTTGAAACTGTTTTTAAAAAGTAAAAATAATATGCCGGGTGATGGTGGGGTGTGCCTTTAATCCCAGCACCCAGGAGGCAGGCGGATCTCTGAGTTCCAGGCCAGCCTGGTCTACAAGGGGAGTTCTGCTGACTCTGAGGCCCTCCGCTCCCCGCCTCACTCTCCTGTTCCCGCCGGTACTTACACTCCCGGAGGCACTCTGTGTCGGTGCAGTAGGACTGGGACTGCCGGAGCTGCAGGAGAAGAAACCAGAGTCAGCTGCGGAGCCACCAACAGGGCCCGGGGCGGCAGGGCGAGAGAGGGGGCCAGAACTCCGTGCCGGGGCTGGCTCAGCATGCAGGAAGCCCTGCATGGAGCTCCTAACACCACACAGTAAAGAAGCAAATCAATTTCTAAAGAGTTTAAAGGTTCTGCCTTCTTTTTATAAAGAGCACCCCACAACTTAAAAGGCTGACTTATGATTAGACTGTGGTTTGGTGATGACCTCTTTTCATTATGTGGTAAATAAAACTATATGTGATACAATGAAGACATATTTCAGTTGAAAGGGATTTACTGTATATCTATTCCCATCTCCCTCTTTTTAGAAAACATTTGACAGGCCAGGTGGCTTACACCTTTATGCCCAGCACTGGGGCCAGCCTGTTCTACATACACAGCAAGTGCCAGGCCTGCCAGGGCCTGTTGGGGAGTATTACTCTAAGGTGTGTTACTTTTGTTTGTGCTGCACCTGTTTAACTCTGTGAAGCTGTGTTACTGTGCCCATCTAAAACACCTGATGGTCTAATAAAGACCTGAACGGACAATAGCGAGGCAGGACAAAGGATAGGCGGGGCTGGCAGGCAGATAGAATATATAGAAGGAGAAATCTGAGAGGAGAGATGGAGTGAGAGAGAAAGAGGACACAGGGGCCAGCCACCTAGCCAGCCATGGAGTAAGATTTACAGAAGAAAGAGAAAAGGCCCAGAGGCAAAAGGGTGATGGAATAATTTAAGGAAAGCTGGCTAGAAACAAGCCAAGCTAAGGCCGGGCATTTATAATTAAGAATAAGCCTCAGCAGGGTGGCGGTGGTGTACGCCTTTAATCCCAGCACTTGGGAGGCAGAGCAAAACCACACAGAGAAACCCTGTCCCGAAAAACCTAAATAAATAAATAAATAATAATAATATAGTGATTTATTTGGGAGCTAGGTAGTGCCACCACTCCCCCCAAAAAAGAACAAAAGCAACCAACAAGGGCCACATAGTGAAACCCTGTCTCAAAACAAAAAGAAAAGAAAGGATTTACTAAGTGGAGCCTACAGGATTGCTCCAGGAAAGGGCAAGGGCAGAGACTCTGCTGCTGTCGCAGCTCCTGTGAGGATCGGTGTGTGTATGAGGTGCTGTGTTGGCTTGCCGATGCCTGCAGAGCCGGGGACAGAGGGTGACACTGGTCTTTCTCTACTGTCCTCCAATCCATTTTGAGACAAGCCTCTTACTAAAGCTGGAACTCTTCTCCACTAGGTTAGCCCACAGTGATGCCTCAGGGTCGGCCACTCTGTCCCCGCAGCACAGGTGTGGGCCATGGGTATGCGCCAGGACACGTGATTATTATGTGTGTACCTGGGATCTGAACACAGGTCCCTGTGCCTGCCTAACTCACCGAGCCATCTCCAGCCACCAGTAAAAAATTGTTTCTAAAAACACACACACAAGAAGTTTCTAAACATTTCCAAACAGGACAGAAACATTCATGCACCTCCCAAAATGCAACTCAATTACAAATATCCAATACTCACACTCCCTTATGGGAGGGAGGATGGGAGATGGATGTTAAACTCACATTAACTCAATAATTAGATGATGAGCAGCCCAATCTGGGCGTTCTTTGTATTGCAGTTACAAACAGCTCTGAACTTCAACACTTTAGGTTTGTAACACACAATTTAAAATATGCCTATTACAGATAGACAGTTGTTTGCTTTACATCCAACCCTGAAGGGAGACAATGAACGAGTAAGTTTATGTTCTTTATACTAAAACTTACACAGGCAATGAAAAGGCAGTACTCCAGGGATCTGACTACTGTACCCATAAGAAAGGGGGGACACCCAAGGGATCTATATTTGTAACTTTTTAAACTATGCTAAGAACAGCTAGGTGGTGGCAGCACGTGCCTTTGGTCCCAGTACTCGGGAGGCAGAGGCAGAAGCAGGCAGATCTCTGACTTTGAGGCCAGCCTGATCTGCTGAGTGAGTCCCAGGACTACACAGAGAAACCCTGTGTCAAAAAAAAAAAAAAAAAGCTATGAAAAAAATCTCATCAATTTTAGAAATCAAAGGTAACAAAGCTTTATTAAAATTGTTGAAAATCGGGATGGAGAGATGCCTCAGTGGTTAAGAATACTTCCTGTTCTTCTAGACCAGCACCCATGTCAAGCATTTCATAAGCAGCTAACTCCAGCTCCTGCAGGGTGCTACCCACCAACCCCACAGTTCCCCAGAGTTTTCTTGAGTGAGAGCAGCAGGAAATATTAGATAGAAGGATTTAGATTGTGGAAATGAACAGAGAGAAAATATAGGATGGCCTCGAGAGGACCTGGAACCTATTTCAACTGCCCCAACGGTCTCTGCCCTAGGGTATTTATAGAAATGCCAAGGGGTGGAGCAAAAGACACACACACCCCCAGCACAGCCAAGTGCAGACCATCTCAGACACCTGCACTCAGGCCCGTGGTCCTAATCATCCTCTCTATGCAGACCTGCTGGGTAAAGCCACTAGGAACCTGAAAACGAGCTCCCACAAGCTCCAGAGGATCCAACACCCTCTTTGGCAACTGTGGGAACTGTACTCATGTGCAGAAACACAAACTCACATAGATACATAATTAAAAACTAAATCCCAGCCCAAAAGTAGTGGTGCATGCCTTTAGTCCCAGCACTCAGGAGGCAGGGGCAGGTGGATCTCTGAGTACCAGGCCAGCTAGTCTACAAAGTGAGTTCCAGGACAGCCAGGGCTACACAGAGAAACTGTGTTTTGTTTTGTTTTGTTTTGTTGTTGTTTGGTTTTGTTTTCAACGGGGTCTCTCTACATAGCTGTGGATGTATTGAAAGTCTATGTAGACCAGGTTGGCATCAAAATCACAGATCCAAAAGCATGCTGCCTGGTTTAAAACAGAGTGGGAGGGGGCTGGAGAGGTGGCTCAGTGGTTAAGAGCACTGCCTGTTCTCCCAGAGGACCTGGGTTCAATTCCCAGCACCTACATGGCAGCTCACAACTGTCTGTAGCTCCAGTTCTAGGGTACTAAAAGACCATGTACATGCACTTAGCTAGAAGGGCCCTGAATTCAATTCCTAGCATTGCCAAAAAAATTGTTGAAAAGCTGAAAGTGATAGGGTGTGGTAGCTCAGGCCTGTAATCCAGCGTTCAGGAGGCTGAGCCCTGTAGTTAACAAAGGGAGTTTCAGGCCAGTCTAAACTACAATGTGAAATCTTCTCTCAACAAAACAAAATAAAAAAGCTAAACATTGATTGCAAGACGTATGTCCCTTTCAAATCTTACAATTACAATGCATTTGAAAACGCTCTTCACCGGGTGTGGTGGCGCAAACCTTTAATCCCAGCACTCGGGAGGCAGAGCCAGGAGGATCTGTGAGTTCGAGGCCAGCCTGGTCTACAGAGTGAGTTCCAGGAAAGGTGCAAAGCTACACAGAGAAACCCTGTCTCAAAAAACCAAAAAACAACAACAAAAAGATAAAAGAAAACGCTCTCCAATGGAAATGACCTGAGATTGGTACTCAGAACCCACGTGGTGGAGAGAACTGACTCCTGAAGTTGTCCCCTGACCTTCAGAAGTATACCATGGCATACATGTGTCCAAAGACATATATTAAATGACTAATGTAAAAATTAATAAAAATATTTTATCCTGTCTTCCAATATATCTGTGTCTGAGTACAATGATCCTTTTGTTTAGAGTGCAGGTTTTTTTGGTTCGTATTACTGCAGCATTAGGTTAGTGAACAGTTAGGCCTGGGGTATACAAACACCTTCCCTACCGAAGCACACAGGCAGAGGGAGGACCACTCGACTCTCAAGTAGGGAAGCTGCCCTCTGAGCGTCAGAGTCCACTTCACTGAGCCAGGCAGCCTTTCTTTTCCTTTCGACTTTACAGCCACTAAAGAGGTTTGGCATTACCCTGGCTTCCCTCCTGGTCCTTAGCATCCAAGGAGGAGCCTTCCAGTGCCTTTTCTTAGAAAGAAATTCTAATTTTAGCCTGCTGGCAAAGGTCTACAGCAATCTCTTTTATCCCACAGAAGAAAAGAGACAAACAATGGGTCCTGTTCCTCAGCAGACGGGTCTTTGTGTTCACTGAAATTACAAGTTGTGCTTGGGGATTTTAATTTTCTTAGATTTATTAGCTGACTTTATGTGTATATGTAGCTGTCTGTGTGTATGTATGTTCACTGTGTGCATGCATGCCTGTACTGGATCCCCTGGAGCTGAAGTGAGCTGCCATCTGGACACCTGGAATTGAACCAGGGCCTCTGGAATTGAACCAGAGCTCTTCACTGCTGAGCCACCCCTTCCTCTTGAAAAAAGCTTTTATTTATTTGTGTGTCTGTACTCGAGCATGCTGTGTGGGGGTGAACTTGGAGGCCAGAACACAGAGTGGGATCACCTGCCGCTGGTAAGAGGTGGTTGTGAGCTCCTGGTGTGTGTGTGTGTGTGTGTGTGTGCTGGGAACCAAACTCAAGTGTTCTGGATGGTAGGCGCTCTTCACCACTGAGCCATCTCTCCAGCCCACTTCAGAAGTCATCCAGGAAATATCTTCTGTGCTATTTCGTTGACGTTTACTTAATTTTTAAAAAATGTCTTTATTAGCAGGGTTGTGGTGGTGGTGGCGGCGGCGGCGGCGGCGGCGGCGGCGGCAGTGGCTGCGGCGCACGCCTTTAGGCAGAGGAGGGTGAATCTCTGTGAATACAGAAGTGAGCCTGGTCTACAGTGCAAGTTCCAGGACAGCCAAGGCTACACAAAGAAACCCTGCTCAAAAACAACAAAAAATGTATTTATTTATTTAGTTTTATGTGTATGAGTGTTTTGCTGCATGCAGGTATGTACACCATGTGTGCACCTGCAGGCGCCCAGGAGGTCAGAAGAAGGTGTTAAAGCCTCAGCACTAAGTGACAGAGGATGTGCTGGGAACTGAACCCACATCCTGTGTAAGAGCAGCCAGTGCTCTCAACCATGGAACCGCTTCTCCAGCCCACAGCTTCCCATACCATTCCATATCATTCCTCCAGTAGTCTTCAATGTAATGAACGTTTCACACTAACCAATCCTAGCCAAAGGAGACTGAGGAGGGCAGATCTTTGATTTTGAGGCTAACCTAGTCTAGAAAGTGAGTTCCAGACCAGCCAGGGCTATTCAATGAGATCCATTCTCAAAAAAGAAAAAAAAAAAAAAAAGATGGGTGGTGTTTTTTTGTTTATTTATGTATGTATGTATATATGTATGTATGTATGTATGTATGTTCCAATGAGTGTTTATTTATGGACTCTCCAATCTGAATTTCATAGGACTTTCATGTAGCATGAAATGTGATTTTTAAAACCACTTAGAAACACAGAGACCATTCTTAGCCCACAGGCCACACAAAACGAGCGGTGGGGCTGGATCTCAAACACACAGTCACTTTCTACCCTCTGCTCTAAGTATTTTTTGACATTTATTTGCTGGCATAGACATAATGTCTACTTCCTTATTACGTGAGATCAATAATATACAATTTGCTTAAGGCTTTGTCTAAACTGCTGGTGTATAAATTTTTAAGACAAAAAAATTTAAAATGATTTGTATGTTAAAATTAAATGCTAAAGAAACAAACTGGCCAAGTTTTATTTATTTCTTGACGCAACATCTATATAGCTCACACACACGCAGCAGGACGCACACCTCGGCTTCACGACAGCATCAGGCTGCACTTCCGGTTATAATACCACAGGGCAAGGTAGCTGGAAAATGTACATTTATACACTTCATAAGTTAAAGGTGGCCACAAGATTTATCTATTTATTATGTACACAGAAGAGGGCACCAGATCTCATCACAGATGGTTGTGAGCCACCATGTGGGTGCTGGGAATTGAACTCAGGACCTCTGGAAGAATAGTTGGTGCTCTTAACCTCTGAGGCATCTCTCCAGCCCTAGGTGGTGGTTTTAGTCCATCACTTTTCTTCTCCTCTCAAGACAGGGTTTCTCTGTGTAACAGCCCTAACTGTCCTGGAACTAACTCCATAGACCAGGCTGGTCTTGAACTCCCAGCCTCCTGAGTGCTGGGATTAAAGGCGTGCGCCACTACCAGCTGGCCTTTTAATACTTTTAATCCCAGCATTTGGGAGGCAGGTGGCTTTCTGAGTTTGTGGCCAGCCTGGTCTACAGAGCGAGTTCTAGGATCCCCAGAGCTACAATGAGAAACCCTGTCTTAAAAAACAAACCAAGAACAAAAAAATAAATAAGTGTGTGTATATGTGTGTGTGTGTGTGTGTGTGTGTGTGGTGAGATAAAGATCTCGTTTTTTTTTTTTTTTTTTTTGGTTTTTCGAGACAGGGTTTCTCTGTGTAGCTTTGCACCTTTCCTGGAACTCACATGGTAGCCCAGGCTGGCCTCGAACTCACAGAGATCCGCCTGCCTCTGCCTCCCAAGTGCTGGGATTAATGGCATGCATCACCACCGCCCGGCTTAAAGGTCTAGTTTTAATCTACACGTGGAAATCAGTTTTCCATAGGAAGTTATAGAAGAGTTCTTAATTTTTAATTTGTGTATGTGTATGCCTACTTGTCTGTGTGTGTATCATGTGCATGCAGTGTCCAGAGGCCATAAGCTTATGTTGGCTCCCCTAGAACTTGAGTAACACATAGTTGTGAACAGCTATGTGGTGCTGAGCCACCTCTCTGGCTATCTTTAATATACACTATATTTATCACCTCTCCTGATAACCAGCGAACTGGAGATTTCTGAGTTCAAATGTGTTTCCTGGTCTACATGTCTGCTTAGGCTGCTTCTGTTACAGTGACTCAGTAGTGTGTTTTGAAACTGGATTTACACCTTCAATATTGGTTTTGCTCAAGTTTCCTTGCCACCTAGGGTCTCTTATGCTCCCAGGTGGAACTGTAGGATTTTTTTTTCTAGTTTTACAAAGTTATTGAAGCCTCCCACTATTACACTGGGGCCGAAATCTCCCTTTTTTGTACTAGTGCTTGCCTTTATAAAACTAGCTGTTCCAACCTGGTCCATATAAATTCATCATTATATTCTGACAAACTGTTCAATTACCACTACACAGTTAAATCCTTTGGGTAACATATTTTGTCTTTAAATTTGTTTATACTGAATCTACTCCTGCTTGCTTTTGGATCCCATTTGCTTGAAAACCATTCTTTACCTTTCTATTCTGTTTATGTACTCACAGGTGAGCTGAGTTTCTTTCTTTTGTTTGTTAGGGTTTTTTTTTTTTTTTTGTTGTTGTTGTTGTTGTTGTTTGTTTTTCAAGACAGGGTTTCTCTGTGTAACAGCCCTAGCTGTCCTGGAACTTGCTTTGTAGAACAGGCTGGCTTGGACTCACAGAGATCTATCTGCTTCTGCCTCCCAAGTGCTGGGATTAAAGGTGTGCTAGTACTACCATGCCTGGCTTATTAGCTGAGTTTCTTTCTTTCTTTCTTTCTTTCTTTCTTTCTTTCTTTCTTTCTTTCTTTCTTTCTTTCTTTCTTTCTTTCTTTCTTTCTTTTTCTTTCTTTCT